ATACGATTTACACAAAGTAGAAAATAACTGTATTTTTAAAAATGAAATAGTATGAAAAGAATTCAGGTATTTGAAAACTTTCAACGATGTCATATTATTCCTTTTTGAAAAAAGTATATCCTCTACTAATAATATAGATTTGTATAAAAAAAAGAAAAAAAATTGGCATTCTTTTATTGCGTTTTTCACGTTATTTGACCTTTTAAATATTGCGGGGGTTTTTGTTATATTCCGCACCTACGTTTCAAACTTTTCGATAATTACAAAATTCACAGGATTTGAAATTAAATATATATCACAAATACAAAGTGAAAATATGATTTGAAATATTTCCCCTCACGAGTAATCATCATCTTTGATGATTGGTCCATCATGTTCTATGAAGCGAGTGATTCTCTCGTCCAGTGCATTATATTTGGGGGGGGGAAGAGGGATTTTGATTGACAAGTCCTTAAACGCAATAGGATTAATGTCTAAATGCAAATTTATAGCTGCGGATCTATTGTCGACAGGTTTGATGACAATCATTATCGCTTTTGGAATATATTTATCTAATTAATCACACATACCAAAGAGAGAATTTTCTTCAAGCATTCCTTGAACATTTCATTTATTTCTCAAATTCAAAAAAAGAATTAAAAAATAATATTTTTTATTCTTTTTTTGAATTTGAGAAATAAATAAAAAAAATAATTAAAAAATAATATTTTTTAATTCTTTTTTTGAATTTGAGAAATAAATAAAATTTTCTTTTGGAAAAATTTAACTTTAATTATAGGTGTGAATAAAAAATAATTAGTATTATTTTTTCATTTTAATATAGTCGTAGGAAAAGCTTATAACTTTCTATATATAAAAAAGTCTAATAAGATTCATATTCTTTTCGGATTCGATATGAAATTTGAAATAAATGACTTTTGCGTCAGAAACTTTGTCTTCTTCATCGAAAAGCTGCACACGTCAAATTCGAAATGTCCGCGCGTGAGATTGGAAATGATTGATTGGCTTTTTGATTCGCTTTGCGAACAAGTGGAAATATGTATATAAATCTAGAGGACACAAATTAGAGATCTCCGATTTCGTTGGAGTAACTTTTGATGAAAATTCTCGCACTGATTAACTCTTTTCAGTCACTCAGAATATTTCCCCTCGTTGACGAATATGGTGAAAACATTCAAATAAACTTCTAAAAATAAATTTATATTTTTCCCTTTTAATTTTATCCTTTTTTCAATTTACTTTGTTTTATAAATTAAACTATTTTTTTAATTTAATTAATTTTAAATTATTTGTTTAATTTCAATTCAACGTTTTAATTTTTCTATTTTAAACATTATTTTCAAAAAAAAATTTGAGAAAAAAATAAGAAAAGTTAAACGTTTTGCAACAGTAGATTTTCTTTATAGACGAATATTTTTAAGAATTTTTCACTAAAATTTTTCATTTAAATCAATTAATTTTCGAAAAAGTTTTTCGACAATTATTTCAAAATCCATTTATTTACAAAATTCTATTTTACAAATTTCAATTATTCGTAAATTCTTCAATTAAATATATATTAAAAAATAAAAACATCAAATATATATATATATGGGACATTCCACGTCAACACGGACAGAGCTCTAAACAAAAATTGCTTTGATGGATTTAAACGTTCTAGGGCTTAAAAGATTTCTACGTTCATGTACTTTAAGATGCCGATGGGCGTTTTTTGCAAAATTCCATTTCCGATGCCAATAGAACTATCAAAAGTCAAAAGGTCCAAAAATCTCAAAATACTTTTATGAATTAAAAGCAAAAAACGAGGTAAATTATTCTGTAACTCATTCTTTATCATTTTTTAGGGTTCTCGAATATAAATCTAAAGTTTTTTTTTTAAAAATCCAAAATGGCGAAATCAATATGGCGGACAAAATTCAAATTTGATCAGATTCGATTAAAACTTGTTACTCGGGGGTTTTTAAGGTCGCTGATTACGAATCTGAAGTCACTTTTTAAAAATTCAAAATGGCGGATCCAATATGTCGGAAAAAATTTTCAAATTTGATCCGATTCCCTTAAAACGTGTTACTCGGGGGCTTTTGGGGTCGCAGATTATGAATATGAAGTTACTTTGTGTTTGAGACTTCAAATTCATAATCAGATACGCTAAAAACCACCGAGTAACACTTTTTAATTAAATCTGATCAAATTAAAAAATTTGATCCGCCATTTTGAATTTCTACAAAGTAACTTCATATTCATAATCTGCGACCCCAAAAGCCCCCGAGTAACACGTTTTAAGGGAATCGGATCAAATTTGAAAATTTTTTCCGCCATATTGGATCCGCCATTTTGAATTTTTAAAAAGTGACTTCAGATTCGTAATCAGCGACCTTAAAAACCCCCGAGTAACAAGTTTTAATCGAATCTGATCAAATTTGAATTTTGTCCGCCATATTGATTTCGCCATTTTGGATTTTAAAAAAAAAAACTTTAGATTTATATTCGAGAACCCTAAAAAATGATAAAGAATGAGTTACAGAATAATTTACCTCGTTTTTTGCTTTTAATTCATAAAAGTATTTTGAGATTTTTGGACCTTTTGACTTTTGATAGTTCTATTGGCATCGGAAATGGAATTTTGCAAAAAACGCCCATCGGCATCTTAAAGTACATGAACGTAGAAATCTTTTAAGCCCTAGAACGTTTAAATCCATCAAAGCAATTTTTGTTTAGAGCTCTGTCCGTGTTGACGTGGAATGTCCCATATAAATTCAATTATAATTTTTAAAAAAAATAATTTCAAAAAAAATTTTTAAATCAATTTTCACTAGAAAAGTCTACTAGAATTTCTACTAGAAATTCGATTAAAATTTTATTAAAAAGAATTAAAATTCTGCATTAAGTTTTATTATTTATAAAAATAATTGAATGCCTATAAGAGGAATTTTTTTATTTTTGAACATAATTAAATTTCTAATTAAATTTTCTAAATTTTTTGAAAATTCAATTATTTTATTACTTTTAAAAACAATTGAATTTCTGCAATAATTTATATCTTCTCCAAAATTAAATTTTTTATTAGTGTTAACTAAAATTTTTCTATAAATCAATTATTTTAAATAATTCTTCAAAAAGTTTTTAGAGAATTTTCAAATTCATTTGTTTTTAACTGAAATTCATTTTTATATCAATTTTTATTAGAAAATTCTAATAGAATTCAATTATTTAAATACAAAAATAATTTTTATTCAATATTTGATCGCTTCTCAAAATTATTATAAAAGAATTTTATCAACAAGTTTTTAAATAATTGAATTCTTTTGACGAATTTTAATAAAATTTTTAATAATAATTACATTTATAAAAGATTTTAATTAAAATTTTATTAAAAATAATTGAAATTCATGAAAATAATTGAATTCGTAAAAACAATTTTTATTATTTACGAAAATAATTGAATTAATGTAAAAAATTTTATTTTTTATAAAAATAATTGAATTCCTAAAAGGAATTTTATTATTTTTAAACATAATTAAATTTCTAATTAAATTTTCTAAATTTTTTTGAAAATTCAATTATTTTTTTACCTTCGAAAACAATGGAATTTCTGCAATAATTTATATCTTCTCCAAAATTATATTTTTCTTAGTGTTAACTAAAATTTTTCTATAAATCAATATTATTTTAAATAATTCTTCAAAAAGTTTTTTGAGAATTTTCAAATTCATTTTTAACTGAAATTCATTTTTATATCAATTTTTATTAGAAAATTCTAATAGAATTCAATTATTTAAAAAAAAAATAATTTATTGAATATTTGATCGTTTTTCAAAATTCTCATAAAGAATTTTATCAACAAGTTTTAAAATAAATTAATTCTTTTGACGAATTTGAATAAAATTTTTAATAATAATTACATTTATAGAAGAATTTGATTAAAATTTGATTAAAAATAATTGAAATTCTCCTATGAGTTTTATTATTCATGAAAATAATTGAATTCGTAAAAACAATTTTTATTATTTACGAAAATAATATTGAATTCCTGTAGAAAATTTTATTTTTTATAAAAATAATTGAATTATATTGCGAAGAAATTTATTAAAGAAATTTGTAAATAATTGAATTTTAGTGAAATTTGTATTATTTTATGAAAATAATTAAATGTTAGCGTAGAATTTTATTGAAATTTTCTTAAATAATTGAATTCTTTTGGAAAATTTTATTAAAATAATGGAAATATTAAAAATCATTCAATTGAGGAAAATTCTTGAAAGTAATTGAAATTTTGCAAAGAATTTTATTAAAATTTTTTTTAAATAATTGAATTCTTTTGGAAAATTTTATAAAAATAATAGAAATTTAAAAAATTATTAAATTGAGGAAAAATTTTGAAAATAATTTAAATTTTGCGAAGAATTTTATTAAAAATTTTTTAAATAATTGAATTTCGGAGAATAATTTTATTATTTTTTATGATAATTGAAGTTTTGAAGATAATTTTTAAATAATTTTGAACATAATTGAATTTCTGCAAAAAATGTTATTACTTTTGAAAATAATTGAATTTCTGCAATCATTTGTAATTTCTCTAAGATTCTCAAAATTATATCGTACAATTTAAAAACTTTTCGTCCTTTTTTAATGAAATTACGAACATTACGGACCTTTTTTCGAAAAAAAACTTACTTTTACGGACTTGAAGCAAATTTACGAACCTTTACGGTATTTACGAACCTAGTTCGAGCCCTGTAGTAAACCATTCACTAATATAATGTTAAAAAAATTTTTCACGAAATTTATATCCTTTCTAATTAAAAATCACTAAAATTTAGAATTTAGAATTTAGAGAATCGTTTTAGTGAAATTCTATAGAACTTTTTCAGCTGGGATACATATTATATTCTTGACTTTTTTTTTAACAATTTGGAAATATATTTTTGGAATTTTGTAAATATTTGGAATTTGGAAATACAATAATTATTAATTGAAATATGATGTATGTATATTTTTAGGTGAACTTTGGCGATGTCTTCATTCCATCGAATCTTGAAATACCAAAACCTCGAGTACTACCAGAATTTTCGAGATTAGCACACGGCTTGCGAAGTGGAAACATCAGTATTCTGGACAGCAAAACATTCTACATTCCAAACCTCCATTATGACGGCGCCGGTCCAGATGCATATTTCTGGGTTGGAAATGGCTCAGAACCTAATATACATGGCACTAAAGTACCCAATGAAATGGGCAGGTGAGCATTTTTTCCCACAATTTTTATATACTTTATTTTTATTCAAAACCAAATTAATAAATGCCAAGAATAAATTAATTTATAAATACATCAATTTACTCAAAACATTAATATCTATAACATGAAGAAAATGAATATTCTAATAATTTAAAATTTTTTTTAATTTTTCTTCACAACTGTTTCTCGATTTATTTCTATAATTACTATTTTATTAAATAAATTATTATTATTATTGCTTTTTTGTTTCTTAACTTTTTAAATAATTTTTCTTTTCAAACACTTTCAATTTTAAAATTAATGTACCTATTGAAAACCATTGAATTCTTGCAAAGAATTTGGTCCAAAAATTTAAGAATAATTTAATTCCGTCAAAGAATGTTATTATTTAGGAAAATAATTTGAATTCGTGCAAAGGATTTTGTCAAAACATTTGAGAATAATTGAATTCCTTCGAAGAATTTTATTATTTAGGAAAATAATTGAATTCTCGCGAAGAATTTTTATAAAATTTTTGAAAATTCTAATTACTTAAGTTCTTTTTGAAGAATTTCTTAGAATTTTTTTTTTTAAATAATGGAGTTTCTTTAATAATTTTAATTAAAATTTTTTTAAATAATTCAATTTTATGAACAATTTCTTTCAAGTTTTTAAAATAATCGTGTTTGTTAATTATTGCAATTGAACATTTAATTATTAAATTTTATTAAAATTTTAGAAAAAAATTGAATTCTTTTAAAAAACTTTATAACAAAATAAGAAAAAAATTAAATTTTTCGTGAATTTTTTTTTAAAATAATTGAATTTCTGCAATGAATTTTACTATTTATAAATATAATTGAATTGTTTCGAAGGATTTATTAAAATTTTTTAATATAATTGAATTTTTTTGAAAAATATTATTAAAAATGAAAAAAATTGAATTCTTTCATGAAATTTTATTAAAAATAATTATAGAAAGTGAAAAACAAAAATAAAATAATTGCATTTTTGCAAAATAAATGTAACTATTTATAAATATAATTGAATTTTTTCGAAGAATTTATTAAAATTTTAGAAAATAATTGTTTTCGTTCGTGAAATTTTTTTTTAAATTGTGTTTAAAAATAATTTAATTTTTGCAAAAAATTCTACTATTTATAAAAATAATTGAATTCTTATGAAAGAATGTTATTATTTATGAAAATAATTGAATTTTTGCTAAGAATTTTATTAAAATTTTTGAAATTAATGAACAGGAATAATTAATTAGTAAATTGAATTTGAATAAAGTTTGAATTTAAAATTATTTAAAAATTCATATTTGAAAATAAAAAATTTTGTATTTTGCATAATAATAGTAGTGAAAATACAGTAAAATTCGTCTTTAAAAATTATCTATAAATATAATTGTATTTTTTTAAATACATTATTTTATGAATTTACAAAAATTATAGAAATTGATTTATAAAAATTCAGTTAAAATTTTGGAAAATAATTGAATATTGAAAACGTTATAAGAGAAATTTTAGGAATTAATAAGATTTTTAAATTAAATTCTTTGAAAATTTAAGAGAAGCAAAAGTATAAAAATATTTAAATTTTTATTTTAAATGAATTATTAATTACATTTTTAAAGTTTTGTACCTATAATTTTATTCAAAAAATTTTAAAAAAATAATTGAATTTTAGAATATAATTACAATTGCAATTTTTACAAAAAATTAAATTTCAAAAGGTGTTTCTTTGAAATTATTTGAAATTTTAATTTCTGTGGGAAAATAAATAAGAATGAGTTTTTAAATTTTTGTTTAACAATTATTGAAGTTTTGAATATAATTTAATTTAAAAATTTCGAAAAAATGTACATAGGTATAATTAAAATTTTTTTTAAATAATTGTATTTCCGAAAATAATTTTAAAAAATAATTTTTTTGAGTTTTGTAAATATTTCAAATAAAATTGTATTTTATATGAATGTACTTCAATAATTGTAAAGTAAATTTGAATAATTTTCTAATATTTTCTATTGTATATCAGTTTGTGAGTGAAAAAATAAATGTATTTTATTTTTCAGTCTCGATCCACTGAGAGGATATCAGGGCGAGGATATTGAGGTGGTTTTGCCGAAGAATCTAACTGTCTATAACATCGAGTGGCTGTCCGTCTGGTGTGTTCAATATAAGCACAATTTCGGACACGTCCTGATCCCAAAAGACCTCGACGTCCCTCCAGCACTTGGACAAACAAAGATTACGGTAAACCGAGATCATTTTTCTTCTGATCGATGGGAGCTGAAAGCTTTCGCAAGCCACTACAATAAACCATTCGCTAAAATGCTTCCGAGAAAAGGAAAAAAAACTCAAAGCAGCTCTCATGATTTTTCATATTACAATACATCTCCATTTTTCTCTTCATTTCACAATTTACAGAGGTTTTGGATTTAACTCGTATTAATTAATATTAATTAATTTAAAAAAAGTGTGAAAAATTAATTTTCACTTTGCGTTAAGAATTTTGTGATTAACAACTTCTTCAATAATTTTAAATTATAGTGCGATAATTGTGTAAGATTATAAATTTAATGTGGTTCGTAAAATAGAATTTAAATAGAATTTAGAAATCAAATAGAACTTAAAATTTAACATTAAAGTCTTATTAAAATTATCAGTTTAATAAATATTTTTATATTTAGTAACAAAAAGAGACATTTTATAAATTTTTTAATTAAATTAAATTATTAATAAATTATCTATAATTAGTAATCGTTGAATCAAGAAATTACCAAAGAAAAAAATTGATTTTTATAGTTTTTGAAGCATTTTCACGAAAAAAAAACTTTATTTTTATGCTGTAAATGTTAAAACATACAACTGTTATTCGATTTTTTTATTTGAAAATTTATTTTTTTATTTTTCTAACTAATTTCATATCATAAGTTTTATTGTATATTAAAAATAAAAAATATAATAAAATTATCATCTGAAGTTGGAAAAATAAACAAATAAATTTTCAAATAAAAAATTGAATAATAATGGCTTTTTTTAACATTTTCAACCAAAAAAATAAAGTTTTTTTCAAAGGAATGCTTCAAAAATGATAAAAATCAATTTCTTCATTTGGCAAATTTTTTGGATTTAAAAAAATATTTTCTACCAAATTACGCAAAGATTTCAAAATCTAGGTATCAATTTTTAAACAAAATAAACATTCAAAATTCAAAAATGGTTAAAATATTTTCCATCCCCTTTTAATTTATGGCCATAGAATTCCTCTCAAAAAATCACCTTAAAAATAATTTTATGGAATATTTAAATAATTTTCTTGATATAGTTAAAAATATCGGTGTACCATTCCCTTAATAATTTTTCTATTTAAATGTTCTTAACTTTAAAATGATTGTAAGTATTGAAAATAATTTGAATTCTTGATAAGAATTTTATCAAAAAATTTGAAAATAATTGAATTTCTGAAAAGAATTTATAATTTATGAAAAAAATTGAATTTTTGAATTGAATTGAATTTTTTGAATTGAATTAAAATGAAAAAAATTGAATTTTTGCGAAGAATTTTATTAATATTTTTGAAGATCCTAATTAACATCTTTTGAAGAATTTCTTTGAATTTTTTTAAAATAATGAATTTTTTTTCAAATTTCTGAAATAATTGTGTTTGTTAATAATTAAAATTAAACATTTCATTATTGAATTTTATTAAAATTTTTTTTAATTTTCTAAAATAATTGTGTTTGTTAATAATTGAAACTAAACATTTGATTACTGAATTTTATTAAAATTTAAAAAAAAAATTGAATTCTCAGAATTTTATTACAATTTTTTTAAATAATTCAATTGATTCAAGGAATTTTACAAAAAAATAGGAAAAATATTTGAATTCTTTCGAAGAATAGATACTATTAAAGGTCTTGACAATAACAATTGAATTTTTTCAAAAATTAAAAAAAAATTTTTTTATAATCGATTTCGTTAATAAGTGTAATTATTAATTAATAATTTTACTATTAAATTTTATTAGAATTATTGATAGAAAATTAGATTCTTTTGAATGATTTTAGTAAAGTTTTTTTTAAATAATTAAATTATTTAAAAAAATGTCTTTCATTTTTATAAAAATAATGTAGTTTTTAATAATTTTAATTCAAAGTTTTGAAAATAATTGAATTAAACAAAGAATTTTTTTCAACATTTTTAAAATAATCGTGTCTGCTATTAATAATTATAATTAAAATTTTGACTATTGACTTTTATTAATATTGCACTTTTTCTATTTTTTTTAAATTGTAGGTATAGAAAATAATTGAATTTCTGAAAAGAATAATTAAATATTTATAAAAATAATTTAATTGCTTCGAAGAATTTATTAAAATTTTATAGAATAATTGAATTCTTTCAAAAAATTTTTTAAAATAATTGAATCTTTTCGTGAAATTTTATTAAAATTGTATTGGAAATAATTGGATTCCTGCAAAGAATTTTTCTATTTGTAAAAATAATTGAATTCTTGCCAAGAATTTTATCAAAAAATTTGAAAATAATTGAATTCTTGAAAAGAATTTATAATTTATGAAAAAAATTGAATTTTTGAATTAAATTGAATTAAAATGAAAAAAATTTTTTTTTTAATTGAATTGAATTAAAATGAAAAAAATTGAATTCTTTCGAAAAATTTTTTAAAATAATTGAATATTTTCGTGAAATTATATTAAAATTTTATTGGAAATAATTGGATTCCTGCAAAGAATTTTTCTATTTGTAAAAATAATTGAATTCTTGCTAAGAATTTTATCAAAAAATTTGAAAATAATTGAATTCTTGAAAAGAATTTATAATTTATGAAAAAAATTGAATTTTTGAATTAAATTGAATGAAAATGAAAAAAATTGAATTTTTTGAATTGAATTGAATCAAAATGAAAAAAATTGAATTCTTTCGAAAAATTTTTTAAAATAATTGAATCTTTTCGTGAAATTTTATTAAAATTGTATTGGAAATAATTGGATTCCTGCAAAGAATTCATCTATTTATAAAAATAATTGAATTCTTGCTAAGAATTTTATTAAAAATTTTGAATAATAAATAAATAAATTGAAGTTCATGTTTGAAAATAAAAAAAAATTAAATTTGCATTATAATAATAAAGTGAACATCATGTTTTGCGCGTAACATTCTCTGGTTGTTAAAAATTATTAAATACCTATTATTAATTATTATTAATTGAAAATTAACAGTGTTTTTAAAACAACTTATTCTTATAATTATTTCATGTTCGTTTGTTTTGCAGCCACCCTGGTGGTATAATCCTGTGAGTATTTTAGAAACATATATTTCTGAATAAAATAAGAGTTGAGCATGATTATAATTATTCACCACAAGCAACTCAACTTTTTTATGTGGAAAAAATAATAATTATTTTTAATGAAATTTTATTTCTTTCATTTCGGTCAGTATTTCTTTTGTACGAAACAAATTACTCAAATGTTCGTTTACTTAACTACTACGTATGTAAATGATTATTTTTTTAATTTTATCAACTGAATATATTTATTTCTATTACTTAGATAATTTTAATCTAATATTTCTTATTTGAAACAATTAAATATTATCTTCCTCAAATGCAGAAATTATTGATTCGAATAAAATTCGTTGGATTTAAATAAAATTAACTTCGGTTCAAGTCAATACTTTGATATTTAGTTATTTTTTCAAATTTCATATTATTAGTTTAAGTTTTTTGTTAAAGGCATTGGTCTACTATTTATTTAAAAATAATAGTAGCAATAAATGAAATATTTTATTTATATTTAAATTTGATAGGAATTACATGAGTTTCTTGAATTACTCCTGAGTTTCTTGAATTTATTTTCAACAGGTTTTCATTCACTCTTTCTTGCTTCATTTTCTGTATTCTAATTAATTTTTCTTCGCTGTCTTCTGTTGGCTTAAAAAGTGCATGTTTTTAAAACATCAATGCTGCTCCCGATTGTCCTGCCTACATCTTTACCTATACTTTTCATTTTTTATTCTTTAATAAGCAACGGTAAGTCGCTTATCATAATCTTCTTACATCAATTTCTTAGTTTCGTATTTATGCTCTTCACTTTTCAGAATAATGAGCAGAACCATTTCTTTTTTTTCAATTATCAACATTTTTTTTTTTTTTTGTATAAATCTCAATTTTATTGTTGTTTTTAATTTCGTTATTTTTATTTTATTGTACGATTTTTTAAATTGATTTTATTAATGATATTAATGTATTGATATTAATGTTAATAATAATAAGAGAAATATTTCACAGACGAGCAGTACACCGCAGCCATTTGTTCCGACGCCAACGACCCACGATTTCAGCAATTGCAAGGAAATGTTGGACGGTCGTGTTCAAGTTCAATGGGAAGTCATTGGAGACGATGTGAAAATCAGAGTATCGGGAAAAATCAAAGACGATCAGTATGTTGCTTTTGGCCTCTCCGGACAAGAAAATGAATCGAAAATGATTGGCGGCGATGTTGTCGTTGTTGCCTACGATTCGAGAACACAAAAATACATTGCTGTTGACTATTACATGTCACATTTATCTCAATGCGATGGAGAAAAAGGTGTTTGTCCTGACGAAAGAGTGGGAGGCAAAAACGATGCCATTTTACTTGGAGGAACACGAAAAAATGGAGTGACTTCAGGTATTTTTTCAAATTTTTAACAATCCGACACTGATTTTGCCTCTTGAATAATTCTGGTCACTTACTCACTTTCGATAGATTTTGTCGATCTTTGATTTAGAATAAATAAAAAATAAGAGATGCACTGGTTATTTTAAGAGAAATGTTAGAAATATTTATTTTAAAACTTATTAATTATATTTCATTAAAAAAGATTCAATGATCCAAAGGTCAGGAAAATCAAGGAAAAGTCAGAAAATTTTATCGAAAGTACAGAAAAAATATTATATTTCAAAAATGTTGATTAATGAAAATTCTAAATCTTGTTGCCCAACGTAACAGAATTAAAAAAAAAAAATATTCAATTAAATTTTTAATTCTTTCTATTTTTAACAATAATATATGAATTACTAGAAAAACTGGCTATTTAATTTGTTATAATTATGTAAATTACCAAATTTTTTATTTTCAAAAATCATCTTCAATTTTTGAATAAATTCTTCTCTGCAATAACATTATAAGTATAACAAAACATGGTCTCTAAATTTGAATTAGTAAAAATTTGAACTATTTAGAACAAAAGTGATACGAAATTTCTAAAAACTAATTTTTAAATATTAAATAAAGTAAATAAAAAAATAAATAAAATTTTGTTTTTTTTTAGCAAATAAAATTTTAAAAACCCGTATTTTGCAATAATATCAATTCGTTTTTCTACATTAATTTATAAGTAAAGCTATTTTTATATTTTAGAATGTTAACTTAATATTATTAATATTTTTAAAAAAGATTGAATTTCAAAAAGTTTCAGAAAAGTTGAATTTTAAAGAATTTTAATTAAAAATTCTGAATAAGTTAGTTTTTTTAAACATTTTTAGTTACACTTTTTGAAATTAGTTATATTTTTAAACATATATTTAATGGAAAAATTTTCAAATTATTCGAAATTCCATAAAATTGTCTTGTAAACAAGTGGATTTTAAAAATGTTTTAGTTGTAGGTGAACTTTTTTCGAAACAATTTAATTTTTAAGGAACTATCTTCAAAAATATTAAAAATAATTGAATTAAAGAAGAATTTTAATTCAAATTTATAGAAAATAATTAAATTGAAATCTTGAAAATAATTTTTGATAGCTTTTTTTATGACCGAGAAATGACCAGGAATTTTCTGTTATTAAAAAGGCGGTCACCCTGAGTACGTAAACTCCGGTTCTGCGAAAATTACTGAATTCTTAATAGATAAAAAAAGATAAAAAATAATAGTGATTTAAAGTAAGCAAATTTTTTTTTAAATTCTGTAAATTAATGAATCATTGAATTCTTGAAAAGTATTTATCAAAAAATTTGAAAATAATTGCATTCATTTCAAGATTTTATCAACATTTTTTTTAATAATTGAATTCTGACGAGAAAATGTAATTAAAATTATTGTATTGAAAATAATTTAATTCTTGGCAAGATTTTTATTAAAATTCTTTAAAATAATTGAATTGTTTTGAAGAATTTATTTCAATTCTCTTAGAAATAATTGAGTTTTTTTAGATAATTTTTAATGAAAATTTTGAAAGTAATTGAATTTTATGAAGATTTTTTTTAAGTTTTTAAAATAATCGTGTTTATTATTAATTGTAATTAATAATTTTCCAATTAAATTATATTAAAATTATTTATGGAAAATGAAATTTTTTTAAGCAATTTTATTAGAGTTTTTTTTAAAGGAATTTTATTAAAAATTTTGAAAATAATGAATTTTTTAAAAGAATTTCATCAAAATTGTAAAAAATAATTGAATTTATTTTAAAATTCTTGAAAATAATTGAATTTAATTAATATTTTTAAAAATAATTTTATTCTTTCGAGAAATTTCATTAAAACTGTATAGAAAATAATTTAATTGCTCTACAAAATATTATTATTAATGAGAATAATGAAATTTTTGAATAATAAATACGTAACAAATAAGAATATTTAATATTATGTTCTTAAAAGTGAATTTTTCAAATTTTGAATCTGTAATCATTCAAAAAAGTTTCAAATTAAATTTTGAGAAAAGTTGAATTTTAAAGAATTTTAATTAAAAATTCTGAATAAGTTAGTTTTTTGAAACATTTTTATTCACATTTTTTTAAATTAGTTATATTATTAAAAAATATATATATTTAATGGAAAAATTTTCAAATTATTCGAAATTCCATGAAATTTTCTTGTAAACAAGTGGATTTTACAAACATTTTAGTTTTAGGACAACTTTTTTTGAAATATGTAATTGAATTTTTAAGGAAATTTCTCAATAAGAATTAGAAATAATTGAATAAGAGAAGAATTTTAGTTAAAATTTCTAAAAAATAATCAAGGATCAGAAAAAAATTCATTTTTATCGAAAAGTGATAGCAGATCAGTGATTGTTGATTTATAAATAATATAGTTGATTAATTATATTAATTTATTTTTTTCAGTGACATACATGCGGCCATTGAGAACAAATGAGCCGGTGAAAGATAAAATGATTCCAGAATTTGAGACCAGTGTGATCGCCGCCATAGGACGACTAAATTCAAGAGGTGAAGCAAATGCTCATGCACCAACTGATCAAACATCCGAGGATATCAGAATTGATTTCACATCCAGGAATATTCACGAGTGTAAAACTTCCCTGTATAACTTGTCAGATTCGACAACTTTGAAACCTTGGAAGATTCCAGAAATTATTGACACTGATACTTTCACAGCGAGAATAGGACCTGCTGGCAATAAAAGGGGATATTTTGCGATTACAGGTAAATAAATTTCATTTTCTATTTATTTCACGTTTTAGCAGGTGAAATTACTAATAAATCTGATAACTATCAAATTTCTAATCAAGTGAATTACCTGAATTCCAATAATCAACGTGTGCTTCATTTACGTAGAAATGTTTAAATTTATTACTTTTTATCAACTACAAGTTTCGGATAGTTGAACTTTTTTGACTTTTCTTCCATATATTCCAACCGAATGCTACTATTTTAGTACAAAATGTAACTTATTTAGAAAGTAAAAAAATTCTCTTTTAAGAAAATTTCTCACAATTGGCAATTTAGATTTTTAGAATGAATTTTGGGTACTAAACCATTATGTATTTATTTCATTTTTATAACTAAAAACGGCTTTGATTCAAAACCCTTTTGTTCTACATTAACAACGTTTTTTACACTGCTAAATTGTTGAATTATTATTCATTAAGAAAACAAAAATTTAACAAATTTAGTTTTAAATAAAATTTAAAATTTATTTTTGAGTTAGACTTGTTTTAACATTTCTTTAAAGTTTGATAATAACAGAGTTGCCGCAGGTCAGAAAATTCATAAAAGTTAGACAATATTTTCCAAAATATAGAAACAAAAACAACAAATTTCTAGAAATATTACAAAATAAATTCTGATTTTTATTTTCCTTTAAAAATACTGAAAATTTTAAATTTCCCTTGAATTTAATAGTTTACGTTAAAAACTTAACAAAAACACAAAAAGTAACAGTTTGCAATTTTTATTAAAAATATGGAATTTTTACATATAAAATAATTGCATTACCGAATAACATTCTGAAAATTATTAAAATTAATAATTAATTTAGAGAAGAATTTTAGTTAAATATTCTAGAAAATAATTCAATATCGGAAGAGTTATAGTAGAAATTTTTAGAAATATACATAATTAAATTTGAAAACATTTCAAATTAAAATTTTTGAAAATTTAAATTATGATAAACTTTAATTAAAAATTCTTTAGAACTTAGCCAATTTTTTAAATTTTTGTGAAATTAATTGAACTTTTAATATTATTTAAATAAAAAAATTTCGTATAATCAAAATTAGAATGTAGAGTTCAAATCGAGCACTGTATTTGGTTTTTGAAAATTTTAACTTTTCGGATTTAAAAAAGTTATTTGATTTTTGTACCCGGAATTTTGAGTTTAAAAAAAAAAGAATTTTTGCACAAAAGAGCACAAATCCGGCACAATATTTGTTTTTTGATCTAGTTTTTACTTTATAAACATAATAAAAATACAAGAGAAAAATATAAATAAAATTAATAAAAAAAGAGTAAAAATACTTTTCATTGAAAAAGTCTTTTTTTCAAAATTGAATCCCATTGTAAACAAAATATTATAAAATCGTAAGAAGTAAAGTAAAATATAATATTTACTAAGAGGCATTAGAGAAAATGCATAACATTTTTTTATTTCAAGAAAAGTACGAAAGTTATGATTTTTTTTAAACTTAACGACTTTAAAAGCAGAATAACTGAATATAAATTTAAAGAGATTTTGCAATGAAAAAATATCTGACCGAGACAACCGCAAAAAAATTTTTAAATCGTCTTTTGCTTACACATAGTTATTCATTGTGTTTACAAAAATTTTAAAAACAAACGTAAGCAAAACTATAATTAATTTTTTACTATAAATATAACAATACAACTATTCTATAAAATACCTAGTTTTACAAAAGTATAAAAAAGATTTTTAATTCTTTAAGGAAAAGACGACTCCAACAATATCGATGGTATGGGACAATTTTACTTCAAATTGCATGTTATTTATGTATTTATAGTTTTATTTTTTATATTTAGGTATTTACTAGATTTCTAAAGTTTGCAAAATTAAAAATTTATTTTTTAACGTTAATTTTTATCAGAAAAAGATTTTTTTTAAAGTATCTAGATATTAACCATTTAAAAAAAGAATTATATACAGAAAATGTGAAATATTTCGTTTTTGTTACAACTGTTTTTAAATTTTTTTGTAAGAAATCCTAAATATGGTTGTTTTAAGAAAAATTCATTTTGTTTATTGAAAAAAATTACCCCTGTTTTTTTAATAAATAATATTAAACCGTGACTCAAAGCCTTGAAATTTGCCACGTATTTTAAATGCATGAAGAAAAATATAAAGTAACTTTTACTACTTTTATAGTAAAACATTTCTAGTAACTTTTACTACTTTCGGAGTAAATTTTGCTACGTTCGAAGTAAATTTTATTAATTTTTTACAAATATATTCTTTGAACGTAGTAAAATTTACTCCGAAAGTAGAAAAAGTTACCAGAAATGTTTTACTATGGAAGTAGTAAAAGTTACTTTATATTTTTCTTCATGTGGAAAAAAAACATTTTTCGGAAAATTGATATAAAATCTAGAAAAATCTAAAATTCTCAAGTGTTAATTATTTATTTTATTTGTTTATGCCAGGCGCTTTGCGTTTGTCTCTCTCGCTAATTTTTTTTGCTTTTCTGAGAATTTTTCAAAAATCTGTAAAATGTTTTAAAAAAATTAAAATCTTGGAACATTTTTAAAGAAAAACATAGTAGTCCGAATGGAAAATATTGGTTTTTCTAAATTTTATATAAAATTTATGAAAAATTGTTTTTTTCGATTTAAAAAAATGGGAAATTTGAAGAGCTTTGAGACACAGTTTAATATTGTTTAAAAAAAAGACAGAGATAATTTTTTTTTCTAGATAAACTACAATCCGAGAGGGTGAGGCCGAAAGAATTTCGATTTTTCTTTTTTTGGATCATCCTATTGTTAATGTTATTAATTTGAAGACCAGTTGATTTATAATATTTGAATCCTAATTGTTAGCACTGTTTTTTAAAATTATTTTACAATGAAAGAACCGAATACAGAGTCTTATTATTTTATTATTTGCCTTTTATTACAAAATAATTAAAAAAATGTTTAAGTATAAAAATTATATTTTCTTCCTAAACATTTTTTTAGTTAGTTTTTAAAAATAAGTTCTACAGTTGATTTTTATTTAGATATAATTTTTCAGTTTAAAAATCAGTTTTACATTGGAATGCACGCAATAGCATATTTGCTTTTGCAGTTATTTTTTTTGTATCTTCTGTATTATTATTTTCAGTGTCGTATGTACATAAAAAATTGTAGTTGATTAGCAAAGATATTCATTAGTAATTTATTTCTTCCATTACAAGTTGTAAAATAGTTAATTTTAATTTTCAGGAATACCTCCGTGGGGAATTGCTTGGTACATAAACGATCGTCTCATACCTGAAATTACTGTGGAAAGAGGTCGCACATACACTTTCATTGTTGAAGGTGGAAATGATCCATCCAACCCTGCAAAGTAAGTCTTGATAAATTTGTCTCATTAAACATCTTCGTAATGAATATAAAACGGGGCACTTATTAGTCCTGCAATATTGTTCGGTAAGAGCTTCGGTATTATATGAACAAGATAATATTCATAATTTATTTTAAAATATGAGCATTTATTTTTTTTGCTGAATTTTAAATGCTGATCAATATTTCCAGCTTTATGAATTGTTTTGCAATTATAAATAAGGCAAAATTGAATTTTTGTTTAAATAATAAATAGAAATTCTATTTATTATTTAAACATAAATTCAATTCTTTGTCTTTTTATATTTTTTAAAGAATTATTTATTTCTGATTTCTCGAATTTTGTAGATATCATCCATTTTACATAACAACGAGTCCAGAAGGTGGTTACGAGCAAAAAAGTGAGGGTCAACGAAAACAACAAAGAATTCTTGCGGGTGTTGCTCACAATAAAGAAGGTGAAGAAATTCCGACGGCCCAAGGACGCTACTGCGAGTGGGTTCACAAAACCATAGATAGAAGCGTAGAATTTAATAATTTTGAGGACTTTTTCAAAACATTGAAACTCGATTGTCAACCTGGTCAACCGGCAAAATTGGAGTGGACAGTAGCACAAGATACGCCAAATTTGGTTTATTATCAAGTGAGTCAAAAATTCCATAATTCATTTAATTTCGTAAATGGAAGTTATTATTTTTATATCTTACAAATTATTTTCATTTTCATCTTATGACTTTTTTTTACTTGGGCGATTCTCAACGAAGTGGTAACTTTTAACTACGGTAAATTTTTTTTAGATTTGGTCGAATTTTGCCTTCGCTAATATTATGAAATCTTTACGTTAAAATTATTCAAAATTATCAAAAATTCAAAAAACCGAATTTCTTAAAATTCAACATTTTTTCTTCTCTTTTATGGCATTTAGCTTCATTATTTTTGGGCTTTTCAAAAACACTTTACTTATTTAATAGTCTCCACCCTTTGGTAAAAAATCTAAAATTATCGAAAATTATCAAAAATTCGAAAAACCGAATTTCTTAGAATTCAACATTTTTTCTTCTTTTTTATGGCATCTAGCTTCATTATTTTTGTGCTCTTCAAAAATATTTTACTTATTTAATAGTCTCTATTCTTTGGCAAAAATCTAAAATTATGGAAAATTAGCAAAAATTCAAAAAACCGAATTTCTTAAAATTCAACATTTTTTCTTCTTTTTTATGGCATTTTGCTTCACTATTTTTGGGCTCTTCAAAAACACTTTACTCATTTAATAGTCTCCACCCTTTGGTAAAAAATCTAAAATTACTAAAAATTATCAAAAATTCGAAAAACCGAATTTCTTGAAATTTAACATTTTTTCTTTTTTTTATGGCATTTAGCTTCATTATTTTTGGGCTTTTCAAAAACACTTTACTTATTTAATAGTCTTCACACTTTGGCAAAAAATAAAAAATTATTAAATATTTAAAATTATTCAAAAAACCGAATTTCTTTAATATTTAACATAGAAAGAAACGATAATAAAAATCTTCTAAGTTTTGTTAGATTAAAAAAATTCTTTACTTACAAAAATTTAAATTTTTGTATAAATTTTTAGAAATTTCCCTGGCTTTCAATGAAATTTTCTGACATTCCCTGACTTTTCCATGACTTTTCCCTGACCAAAAAAATTCCCTGACTTCCCTAACTTTCCTGACTGTTAGACACCCTGTTAATGTAAAATACGGTTTTTCAAAAAATTTATTTTCTAAGAAAAACAGTACTTAATTTTTGCTTACAGTTTTATTAACATTTTTGAAAATAATTTAATTGTTTTGAAGAATTTTATGAAAATTTTGTGAAAATAATTAAATTCTTTTGAGGAGAATTCTTTTTAATTATATTAAAATTGTATATTGAAAATAATTAAATTCTTATGTACCTATAATTGAATTCTTTTGAAAAATTTGATTAAAATTATTTTTAAAATAATGAAATTCCTGAGTGAGGAATTTTATTACATATGTATGAACATAATTAAATTCTTGCAAATTTTTTCAACGAATTTAATTAAAATTGTATTGAAATTTGAAAATAATTTAATCTCGGGCGAAGAATTTTATTAAATTTATTGAAAATAATTGAATTGTTTTAAGGAATTTTATTAATTAATTTATCAAAATTAAAAGCTCAACATTTATATAAAATTCAATTATTTTTTTAATTTTTAAATAAAATTATTTGCAAAATTATTTAAAATAAGTTCAATTTTAAATCCAGTAAAGTTTAAATAGGTAGATTTTTATTCCAAGCTCTCATTCCATTATTTTTATTAAATTTCCATTTTTTTTTCTCAGTGTTTCACGCACAATAACCTGGGTTGGAAAATTCACGTTGTAAACCCTGGAGAACGAGCACGAAGAGAAGAGGAGCAAGAAGGCCTAACGAGCGCCGGTTCAGCCATCACAACAATTACAATATTCTTCCTCACACCTTTGTACACTCTTTATTTTCTAAGATGAATCTCCATAATTATTTTATTGGCTACGCTTCGCATTCAATTCCAGAAAAGAGAAGTGCGAACACGAGAAAATGCCATTTGTATGAATTCAACGACTGGCGTTGGAATGAAGAAAACGTTTAAAATTAAGATCAGGACATTCGTGATAGACGTGTGTTGCAACTTAAAAAAAGATTTAAAATAAGAAACTCACGATGCAAGGTTGTATGAAAGTACTTTAGCGCCTAAGATCTGCCTGTATCGTTAAAATCAAAAAGTGAAAAACAGAAAGAATTGTGGGAAGATATTTTTAAGAGCTACCAGATTCAATATTTCATATTATATATATATATACATATTATATACATACAGTAATACATAATTATATATATTATTATATATATGATATACAAAGAAACGACGTACACATAAAATGCGCTCAATCGGGCCGGACAATAAATGAAAATTTAGGGAATTAATAAATATTCAAAATGAAATTCAAGACAATACTTAAATAAAGAGAAATTCAATGAATTTCAGACAATAAACTGGCAGCACAATAATAATTAATGAGAGTACAAAAACCGTTGAAAGTAATAATAAAAAAAAATATTGCGGTTTTCTGTTCTCTCGTGAGTGATCAATTTTTGATCCACACTCTTAAAAGAATAGTAAATCTTACGATACGTTCTTTTATTTTTGATAAAAAAGAAAATACAACAAAAATACTTAGCGAATTAAGAAAACTTCGACAATATGAAAATCAAAATAGGTACAATCTCAAAAAGAGAAAATTCAAATAAGTGTTTTATCAGAAAAGTTTATATGTAAAAATAAATTTTAATTCTTGAAAATAGAAAAAAAAAATTTTAATTCTTGCAAATAAAAAAATTAAATTTTAACATTCGAATGTCAAAATTAAAAAAGGTTTATATTAAAAATTGTTTTTCCATTCAGCACTTTTTAAACTTGCACTTATTGAACGAAAGAAACTATTAAAAATTGAAAGTTTTATAAATTAGAAATGAAAAAGAAAAATATATTCTCTATAATTGATCAATTGATATATAAATGTATATTTTAGATTGGAATAAACTTTTAGAGTGTGGAGAGAATATATATATGTGTACGATTGTAAATTTTGCACAAAGTTATAAAATAAAAAAATGAAAATAATGATAATTTAAAATTTAAGTAAATAGCTAAGGGAATATTTATAATAAATGCTGTTTGACAATAATTCAGTACTAAAGTTGAAGCGAACGACGATTAATGAGAAATCTAATTTCTTAACAAAAGTCACAGCTAAAAAACTAATAATTATAAAAGAATAAATATGTGCTGTAACGTATAGATGTATGCAAATACAAGGAAAAAAAGTAAGCGTGAACCTTCCTAAAACGGAGTGAAAGTATAATTGTGCCTTGGGTGCAGATATATACATATACATATAAATAAATATATAGTATAAATAAAATATTGTTTAAAGAAAAAAAGAGCAAGAATTAAAATCAGGAACAACTCGGACAGGAGATACCCTGTAGTACTTAGGAACAAATTCCTTGTGCACGTCTCTCTGAGAACATAGAGAAAAAAAATTATGGCATATTTTTTTAATAGCAAATATGACTGAATAATAAATCTTATAGATGTGATACGGGTGTAGAGTCAATGTCGATTTTAGTAAACCAACAATCTCGTAACTTGTCATTGATTTTTGTCAAAAGAGATTTTTTTTTTGTTATATTAAATATTTTTGATAATCAAAGGGGCTCGAAGCAGTGAAAGTATTTAAAAATACGGACTTTATGGACCAAAAATGAAAAATTGCAAAATTATTTTCATCATTTCACTTCAATTATTACTTTCTAAAATTTTCAACTAAAATTCTTTTTTAAATCAATTATCTTCTATATTAATAAGCATTGTATTCCGGCAATCTATTCGCAGTTTAAAGTTGGTTGCTGTTTGCTTCTTTGTTAACTAACTTTTTAAATGTTTAAAATTTAAAAATTAATACACTGGAAATCATTGAATTCTTGTAAAGTATTTATCAAAAAATTTGAAAATAATTGAATTTTTATGAAGAATTCAATAATTGTAATAAAATTCTTTACAAAAGAATAAGTTTTTTGATTCATTGTTTATTTAATTCAGAATATATTTTTGGACAAATAATCCAAGTGATGTAAATTTTCCATTATTATTTATTAAATCTCGACGATTCTAAAAAAAAAATTTCTTTAGTCTTTTAATGGTAAATAATAAAAATCTTCGTAAAAAATTCAATTATTTTTATTTAAATAATAAAGTTCTTATCAGGATTTCACTTATTTTCAATTCCATTTTTAAATGCAATTACTTCGAAAATTTCAATTATTTTTAAAAATCTTGTAAAAATTATCCGAGAAAATTCAATTATTTAAAAAAATTGAATTTTTCACAGAAGTTTAATTATTTAAAAATTTTTTAATAAAATTCAAGAATTCAATTATTTTTAAAAATAGGTAATGAAATTTTTGCTGGAATTCAATTATTTTAAATACAAGATTTAATTGAATTCTAGGGAAATTTCAATTCTTTCTAAACATTCTTTTTAAATTCTTCGAAAAAATTCAATAATATCAATAAATAGTAAATTTTTCACAGGAATAGAATTTTTTTTAAATACAATTTTAATAAAATACTTCTCAAAAATTCAATTGTTTTTTTTAAATTTTGCAAATATTCAATTCTTTGTTGAAATAATAAATTTTCTCGCAGGGATTCAATTATTTAAAAAAGTTTTAATAAAAATTCTATTCAAGAATTCAATTATTTTCAGAAATAATTAAATAGTCGATTTACTGAAAATCAAATTGAATTCTTGTAAAGTATTTATAAAAAAATTTGAAAATAATTGAATTCATTTCAAGAAGTTTATCAACATTTTTTCAATAATTGAATTCTTACGAGAAAATGTAATTAAAATTATTGTATTTAAAATAATTAATAAAATAAATATTAAATATTTAATAATAATTCTTGACAAGATTTTTATTAAAATTCTTTAAAATAATTTAATTGTTTTGAAAAATTTGTTTCAATTCTCTTAGAAATAATGGAGTTTTTTTAAAATAATTTTTAATGAAAATTTTGAAAGTAATTGAATTTTATAAAGATTTTCTTTTAAGTTTTTAAAATAATCGGTGTTTATTATTATTTATTATTATTTTTGAAGGAATTTTACTAAATATTAATTCTTCTACAGAATTAGTATGAAAAATTAAAATTTTCAATGATTTTAATATGAAACCTTTTCAAAATTCAATTATTTCCAAAAACTCACGCTATAATGCTTTTAATATTCAATTATTATAATCTAATATTTCAAGTTAAATTCATTTTTAAATCAATTTTTATTAGAAAATTCTACTAGAATTCAATTATTTAAATAAAAAAATAATTTATTGAATAATTGAATTCTCATAAAGAATGTTATTAACAAATTTTTAAATAATTGAATTCTTTCGACCAATTTTAATAAAAATTTTAAGAGTTTAAGAGTTTTTAAAAGTTTTTTTAAAATTTTTTTGACACTTTTCGAGGAATTCCATTAAAATTGTATTAAAAATAATTTAAATTCTACATTGAGTTTCTATATTTATGAAAATAATTGAATTCCTAAGAAGAATTTTATTTACAAAAATAATTGAATCCCTGTAAAAATTTTATTATTCATGAAAATAATTGAATTATTTAAAAGAAATTTATAAAAAATTTGTAAATAAATGAATTTTTGCAATCATTTGTAATTTCTCTAAAATTCTCCAAATAATATCGAACAATTTACGAACTTTTCGTTCTTTTTCTATCAAATTACGGACTTTACAGACTTTTTAAAAAAAAAATTACTTTTACTGACTTGAATCAAATTTACGGACCTATTTCGTGCCCTGTAATCAGAAAGAAACATCAGTAATTTATAATTGCATATTTGAAAATAATTCAATTATTATAAAATAATATAATGTCAAGGAAGAATTTTTTATTTTAAATAGTAATTTCTTTCATAAAAATTCTTCCTGGAGGAATAAAATATTTTCGAATAAAGTGAGAATTATAATTGAAAAAAATTGTTTTCGGCAAATTTTGCAAATATTTTGACAATTCACGAGACAAACGTATGAAAGTGAAACAAAGTGATATAAAGTTATGGAAAGTATAAAATATATTAGACGACGCGCACAAGGACATATGAAACCAAGAAATCAGCGAAATACATAATCAGTGTAGATTGTAGAGATTGTAGCCATGATTTTTGTTTTTGTAATTATTTTCCACCTGTAAATGCTTAGTTCAGAGTTCCAAGTGCTGGGGTGTCCTCTAAATTGACTTTGAAAAACTCGGAATTTCAATTTTTTCGTCAATATAAGTATTATTTTGCAACTGTTGATAAACAAAAATTAAAGAAACAAAAAAGTAAAGATGAAAGTAAATAACACCAGTGCAGTGTGTAAAATTGCTATACATATTTACGCGAAACAAGAAAAAAATATACTATATAAAACTTCTGTTCTGTCTCTCCATGAAAAAATGAAACGATTTGTAAAAAGTCAAAAAAAAGTTTAAAATTTAAGTAATACCACGAGACTTAAATTTGTAATCACAAAAATAAGTGACAATAAGATTTAACACAACAGTTATATAATTAACTGTTTCGTCAATGTTGAAATCTAAGTGACGAAAAGGGCTGAGATGCAATTTTTATTTCTTATAATGGACATTTTTTAAAAATTATGTTCAATGAATGAGTGAACAAATAAACACTGCTAAAAAATAAAATTAATAAATAATAATAAATAAAAGTCAACATTATTAAAAGTAAAAATGTATTTGTTAAGTTATTTAGTTATTATCTAAATATAAGTGATGAATAATTCGGATTATATCACATAATTATAATATTAATTTATAATAATGATAATTAATTAATAGTAACAGTGAGAATAATTTGTTCAGTTCTCACTCTATATCGAAAGTTAATCCTGATTGATTCATTTTAAACATATATTTTTTTATTATTATAATTCTTAATCTGAATAAGAAGAAATTTATTTTCTAAGTTAAAAATAAAATATATTAGCATAAGTGTTTCAAAAATTCTTTTTCTCGAGACAGCATTGTTTTACCGAAAATTTATAAATATTATCTTTGCATTTAACCTTCCATTGAACCACACATAATTAAAATTATTGTCTATGAAGCACGTATTTTGTCGAAAAATCTATTTTTAAGAACTTAATTAAGTAATTTATTGTTTCATTTACTTATATTTTTATTCACTTTCAAAAAATTCTAGTTAATATAAAGAATTATAAAATATAATAAATAAAAATTTTCTTAAATAAAAATAAATTTTTTTCTTAAAATGAATTTGAGCAGAATTAACTTTTATCATATTTTTATAAGCGTCGAAAAGGGATCTAATTTTTATTAAATTTTAACTGTAAAAAAATAAACTGTCAACTTTTTAAATTAGTCAAAAATAATCGATTTGTTCAAAATAATTGTATTCTTTCGAGAAATTTTACTAAAATTGATAGAAAAATAATTAAATTCCTTCGAAGAATTATACTATTAATGAAAATAATTTAAATCCTTCAAGGAATTACATTATTTATGAAAATAACTGAAATTTTGCGAAGAATCTAATAAACATTTTAATTGTATTTTAAATTCTGAAAAATTAGTTTTTAAATTCTATGAAAAGAAATTTAATTCTTCAAGAATTTTATTAAAAAATTGACATAATTAAATTTTTATAAACAAATTGTATGATTTTCTAATTTTAATAGAATATAATTTAATATTTTACAAGAAATTTCTTAAAAATTTTAAAAATAATTGAA